GTGCACAATCTTTTGTTGAACAATTGCCTTAGGCATACTGGTCACCCTGAATGAACAAACCGAAAATTATATAAAAAATGTTTAACCAATATTGAAATATTCTTACATAGAGTGTTTATGTTCACTCATTTTGCAATTTCCATCGTCCGTAAGCAAAAAGGTGTTCACGGTCTTGAATGATTCAACTTCAAAATACATACAAAAGATGTACAAAAGAAATACAACAGAAAATTTCCAAACCATTCCCATCTATTTATTACGTATGATATCATATGTCACCTCGTAAAGTCTTGACAGCGCATTCCCTTGGTGTTCCACCGTCTAGCAGTTGACCCTTGTAAACAGCTCCAAATTCACCTTCTCCAAGCTTATTAGAAAGTACCAAATCTTCTTTTGGAAATGATTTCGATTGGTGAGAATCATAGCTTATGTTTGTGTATGACTTCAGGTCTCTGCCAATATCCTCCATATAGAGCTAATAGATTTGGTGCAAATCACATATCATTCAAAATATCAAGAAAAACAATCTTAATGTAAATAGAGTTGTTTTCTAAATAACATTTACCGAGCCCACTTTAATACTTTCGGCGTTTCTCATTGGGAACATTTCCTCGTGTTGTCTTCGCCGGTTTTCTTGTCTAATTCGTCGGCAACAAATAATAACCAAAGCTACAATGATGATGATGAATATGACACTACATAACACGATGAGGGCGATTTCCCAGTCTTTGAGTGTTCCTGAATGAAATAAAATCTCATTTGAATATTATGTAGAGTAGCAGTATACAGGTGAGTAATTTGTATGGTATGAATTAGCCAATAAAAATTTACTACTGTTGTTTATTATATTAGATTAATATGATGTCATCGAGTGTTAAAGCACGTTATGAAAGTTATGACCACTAAATAATATGAATTTCTCTATGCTTGCTCGGATTGGCTAGCAAATAAAGCGTCATGTTTTAGAGAAGCTGGCTTTTTGAAGAGATTAAAACAATACACATACGTTGTCATGCTCTCCTAAATACATAAGCAAGAAGGTCTAGCTAGTGGCCGAGTGTCTGCAATTTACGCCGGAATAAGTTTTTTTTGTAGAACATGGCCTCCTCCACATCTCCAAATGCATCACAAAAAATCACGGACTTCCTGTCTTTTTTGGAAGTTTTTTTTTCTAGTCACTAGTCCATAGCGGTCAAATTAAACGTTACAAAAGAAGCCCAAAGGGGAAAAAATAGTTGCTTGTGGAGGAGGCTATGTCGAACATGCATTTCAAATTTGCTTTTTTTTTCAATATATATTTAAAAACTTACTTTTTTTAGTTCTGAAATCAATAGGGTCTCTTCCTTCACTATTTCCATTGCTGTTGACTGCCAAAACTTTAGCTCTGTATGGTTTATCTGATTCCAACCCTTTGTAAAATAATAAACAATTTTAT